CTTATTTTATTTACTTATTTTTATGTGGTGCTGAGGACGGAACCCAGGGCCTCCCACGTGCGAGGCAAGTGTTCCACCACCGAGCCCCAGCCTGAGAAATTTTTGCCAAGAGGAAGTTAAAGGAAGTAATAACCGCTTTGTCTCAAAAGCAGCAAGAACAACTAAATCACCACACACACACACAACGACAACGACAACAATGTGGCGCTGAGCTCAAAGGATGCAGACAAGGTCTAGTTCCCCGAGGCTGTTGTGCTAATTTCAGGGAACTCCTGCAAACACACAGAACACACATACAGAATGGTACCTTACCCACGGGTAAGGCCCTGGGATCCATCCCCAGTACAGGCCAGAAAACAGGAAAGAAGAAAAAGAATTTCAGAGAACCCGGGAACTGTGAGCGTGTACTTGGTATGAGAGGCACAATTTGTTAAGGTAATGGCATTGCAATTATGTAGGAAGGTGTCCTTATTTTTCCACGATGCATGTATTTTGAGATGATAACTCCTGCCAGCGAGGTTGCAATGATATAGTGCAGGCATAAATCACCTGGCTCAAAATTGAGCATGTATGAGTCCTCAGTGAATGTTAATGGCCATTTTAAAAGAAGTTTGGAGAATTGGCAAACGGAAAAAAAAAAATATTTCTAACTCATTTCATCATCAGATGACAAGTTTCCTTAATATRCAAAGAACTCCTAGAAATCAAGAAGAAAAAGATCTACCACCCAAAAGAATCATGGCCAGGAGAGGTACCTAGAGAGTAAAGAGAAAGCCATAAACAGCTCTAAACACATGGAGCTCTGCTCTGCCAGCTCTTGATAAGAGAAAGGCAAATTTTCTCTCCTCTGAGATCCTATTTTTCACCAGTGTATTGGTAAAAATCCAAAGTTTGATACGAACCCAGTAAGGGCAGAAGGAACAACTCTTACCCATCAATATATGCAAAAAATCGTAAATGGGCACAATCTCTGACTCAGAAATCCCACTTTGGAGAATTTATGCACAGATCCACTTGCATATGTGTGAAATGATGTTTGTACAAACTCCTGATTGTGGAAATGGGTGGGGAAAAAATGTCTCCCAGAGTGACATCAACTATGGGCATCCGCGTGGAGGATGACCGCCACTGCAAAAAAAAATCAACGAGGATGCACGAAGATAGTCCGGGACTTGTGAAGAAGGCTGCCTTTCACTGAATTCCTGGCATATGCCACCACACGGACGATTTGTTGTTGTTGCTGTTGTATTTTATTTAGAGACAGGGCCTCACTAAATTGCTGAGGCTGGCTTTGAACTCACGATCCTCCTGCCTCAGCCTCCTGAGCCACTGGGATGACAGGTGTGCGCCACTGCTCCCGGCTCCCACAGATGAATTCTAACAACACTGTGCTCAGGGAGGCGAGTCGGACGCGGGACCCAGTGCTCACCACACCCCCAGCCCTTATTTAATTTATTTATTTATCATTTTAAATGGAAGCTCTGCATCTGGGGCTGTGGCTCAGTGGCAGAGCACTTGCCTGGCATGTGTGAGGCACTAGTGGGTTCCATTCTCAGCACCACGTATAAGTGAATGAAATAAAGGTTCATCAATATCTAAAATAAATATCTTAAAAATGTGAATACAGGACTTTATTCCCCTCCCCTCTACTTTTTAAGTCAAAAGTAACATATTCAGTTGGGGAGGGGGGAGTGGTACATGCCTGTAATCCCAGATACTCAGGAGGCTGAGGCAGGAGGACTAAGAGTTTGAGGCCAGCCTCAGCAATTTAGAGGAAATTTGTCTCAAAACAAAATAAAAAGGGCTGGCAGGAGGTTGGGGAGCTCAGAAGAATAGTGCTTCTGGATATGATCCTCAGGACCCTACACACACAAAGTAACATGTTTAACAATTTTTATGATGTTTAACAGTTTTTTATTGTGGTAAAATATACATAAAATTTATCATTTTAAACATTCTTAAGYATACAATTAAGTGGCATTAAGGGTATTCACATTGGTGTAAACATCTCTACTATCCAGCTCCTGAACTTAAAACAAAATCATTTTATTTCATTTATTTATTTGTATCATTTTTGTTTTCAGTGCTGGGAGGAAACCCAGGCCTTGTGCACCCCCCCACACACCCCATACCAGGAATTGAACCCAGGGGGGCTTAACCCCTGAGCCACATCGMCAGCCCTTCTTTGTGTTTTATTTAGAGACAGCCTCTTGCAAAATTGCTTAGGGCCTCGCTAAATTGCTGAGGCTGGCTTTGAATTCATGATCCTCCAGCCTCAGCCTCCTGAGTCACTGAGATTACTGGCTTGTGTCACCACACCCAGCTCCTCTCTGTCTCTTTAAGGACACTTGTCATTGGGTTTAGGACCCACCTGGCAATCCAGGATGACCCATCTTAAGGTCCTGATTCATCTGCAAGGATTCTTTTCTCCATTGAGGTCACACTGGGCTGGGATATTGCTGGTGGTACAGCCCTGTCCTGGAGGGAGGGTGGGGACCCATCCCCATTCAACCCACCACACCTCCCTGGAGCTGGGTAGGGGCTGTGCACTTCATACAGTTTCACAAACTTACCCAACAGCCTGCTGGGTGCACTTCTTATCTCCATCTTCCCCTGAACTCAGAGAGGTGTGTGGCTTTGTCCAAGGTCACACAGGAAGGAGGATTCAAAACCAGCCCCACGGAGCCCAAATTTCTGATTCTATGTGAGGCACCACGAGATGTCCGTCCGGCTTCATCAGTTAAGTCAGTCAGCAAATATCTCCCCAGTGTGTCCCGCCCCAGCCTCGGGGCCAGTCATCAGCTCTGAGGAAAGGGCCCAAGGGCACGTCCCCAAGGAGTGACCCTGAGGAAAGGCAGMGGGTAAGAGCGGATTATTCATCAGCCCTTTAGAAGCAGAACAGTCAGATCGTGGCCCTGGGCCCTCAACACCCACACAGGGCAACCCAGGCCAGGAACTGGTCATGGAGAAAGTTCTACCCAGAGGGACCGATGCCGAGGAGYGCTGGAAGAATCTGATGCTCCGTCCTGGAGCCTTTCCTATTATACAGACAAGGAACCCAAGGCACAGAGAGGTGAACTGACATTCCCAAGCTCACACAGCGGGAAAGGGGCAGAGCAGGGAGTCCACTCAGGCCTGCCTGTCACCGGAACTCCTCCTTCTGTCCTCAGGTTTTACATTGAGATAAAACTGATGTGACATGAAATAAACTCTGTGTGTAGAGGGCTGGGGGTGGGCCCTTGCACAGGCTACGCACCTGCTCTACCACCGAGTCCCACCCTGGCCCAGGATGGCCACCTACCTGTGCAGCTCAGCTGTCCTCAGTCCACACACGGGTTCTTCGGCCACCCCTCTGTCTAGATCCCAAACATTGTCATCGTCCCCTCAAGAGGCCCCAGAGCCGTTAGGGGTCACTCCCTAGTCCCCCCACCCTGGCCCTCTTTCTGTCCCTAGCTTGGCCTATTCTGGTCATTTCTATAAATGGACTCCTGCCATGTGTGGCCCTTTGTGTCCAGCGTCTCTCGCTCAGCGTGGGTTTTGAGGTCCGTCCATGTAGCCCGGCTCAGGAAGAGGTCCCTGAGGGACGTCTGCAGATACCACAACCCACRGGCGTTCAAGTCGCTGCTCTAAAAGGGTGCAGGGTTCCCCAGAGCCCACACACACCCTCCCGCAGATTCAAAAACCTCCGTAAGTTACTTAGGATGCCAAATACCACGTGAATGCTATGCACATAATTGTTGTACCGCACACTTTAGGGCTAATGACAAGAAAAAGTCTGTTGTTCAGTACAAATGCAGGTGTGTGTGTGTGTGTGTGTGTGTGTGTGTGTGTGTGTGGTTGGGATCGGACCCAGGGCCCAGCTGGGTGCAGTGGTGCACACCTGTCATCCCAGCAGCTCTGGAGGCCGAGGCAGGAGGATCGTGAGTTCAAAGCCAGCCTCAGCAACAGTGAGACGCTAAGCATCTCAGTGAGACCCTGTCTCTAAATAAAATACAAAATAGGGCTGGGGGTGTGGCTCAGTGGTCGAGTGTCCCCAAGTTCAATCCCCAGAACCGCCCCCCCAAAAAAAATCCCAGAGCCCACCAGGTAAACACTTTAGCCTTGAGCTGCACCCCAGTCCTCTGTTTTATTATTTTGAGACAAGGTCTCACTGGGTTGCTGAGGTTGGCCTCAGACTTGTGATCCTCTTGCCTCAGCCTAGCTCCCTGAGTAGYGGGGGTGTGGCTGGGTGCCCACCCGCTGCAATATTTTCTAAGAATATTTTCCCGCAGTTGGCTGAATTCAGGGGTCCAGAGGGACAACTAWTTTTTTATGTGGCTGAATAAATCCCCTTGTCGAGTGCCACGATTTGGATGTGGAGTTTCGGTTTTGTCACGTGACAGGCTCTGGTGACATGCACAGTGGTGTGGATACACTCGGTGCCACTGCGCTGCACGCCGACAGTGGGCTCCAATGGTAAAGTGGGTGTTCTGTGTATTTGGCGCMTGGTGGCTGGATGTCACTGGGACTCGGTGATCTCTGGTTGCTTTGGGGTTTTTGTTTGGCAGGGCTGAGGGTGGAACCCAGGGCCTTGTGCACGCTAGGCAGGCGCTCTGCCCCCGAGCTGTGCCCCAGCCCCATGTGCTGAGGTCTGCTCAAGTTCAAAGATGTCATTACAGGGCTGGGGACAGAGCTTTGTGGTAAAGCCCTCACCTGGCACACAGATACCCTGGGCTCCATCTCCAGCACCACAAAAAAAAAAAAAAAAAGCGCTCTTGTCTCTCTGTTGAAGATGACAGCCAGCTCAGCCACTTCACTCTGTCCCTGGCAAAAGGTTATCTCTCGGCGGGGCAAGCGGGAAAGGTCGCCTTGGGGGCCGTGCTGCCTTCCCTCTGCTGGGGGAGATAAAGGAGGTCACCCAGCCTCCTCCAGGCAGGGAGGGGGCCGCGGTGTATAAATGGGGGCCAGGAGGCAGCGGAGTTGCTGACCCACGCGGGCATCCGAGGCGTCGTCTGCTCAGCATGGCCAAGTGCACGCTGCTGCTGCTGCTGGCCCTGGCGGTGCTGGCCGGGCAGCTGTGGCTGGTGGCCGAGGCCCGGGCAGCGCCCTACGGGGTGAAGCTTTGTGGCCGTGAATTCATCCGGGCGGTCATCTTCACCTGCGGAGGCTCGCGGTGGAGGCGGTCAGGCCTCCTGGCCTCCGAAGCTATGGGTGAGGCCGGGGGGAACAGGAGGAGGAGGGAACAGAGGGCCCCATGGGTCCAGGGAGCCTGGGAGCGAGACACTGGGATGAGAGGCCCCAGGAGTCAGACCCCTTCCCTGCCACGTTCATCTGGGCGCCCTGCCCAGCCTTGAAGCAGCGGCCAGGGGTCAGGGATTGGCAGAGCCACTGGGCAGGGAAGGGGGCAGCCAGCCTCCCCAGAGGCTATTTTCCGAGCTCCTTCCGAGTGCSCAGCCCACACTCAGCAAGGCTGTGACGGGGGCCACAGAGTCCTGAAGATGGAGGCACTTTCCTGTCCACTCGGGCAGGTGGGGTGAGCCATGGGTGTGTAGGTGGCTGGATTCTGCTGACCAGCAGGTGACCCGCCCCAGCATCCCGATTCCCCTCCAGAGATCCAGTCCGGGAATCTTGCCGAGTGGTTAAATGGTGCGATTCAGTCAAGGCAGATRAGAGTGAAGGGTGGAGGTGATGGGGAGGAGGGGCGTGGATGGACGCACGGATGATGGACRGATGGACAGATATGTGTGTGGASCCAGAATGCACAGGGACTGGGCTCACTTAGTAGTTTTATGACTTATTAGCTGTGTATTTTTGTGCATGTCATTTCTCATTGCCTCTGAAAAGTGGGAGTGACAATGACAGCACACCCACCTCATGTGGTTGCCATCGAGAGGAAAAACCCATAAACGCACTTACAACGGGCGTCTGGCACACAGCTAAGTGCTCAGTAAACAATCAGTGCTATTTTGAGTGCTTATCATGTGCCCAATATTGTTGTAAATTTTTATTGGTATTAAGTCTTCTACTCCATATAAAATTCGAGAAAATAGGAGTTATTTCCTCCACAAGGTTGATAAGGAAACAGAGGCTGTGAAAAGTAAGTTCACCTGGTGACAACTATAACTTGGAGAGGCTATCTCCCAAAGCCTGCTCTTAAACATCATGGCCTCAATAAATAAAGAGTAGGAGGAAATAAATGACGGGGAAACCAAGCTTAAGTCAGGTTGAACGATCTGCCCACTGAAACTGTTGGCAGAGCCAGAAAACCAGCCCAGGACTAAGTGGAATCAACATGTTGAGTCACAAGGCAGAATCACAAGAGCAGAGAAGAAGCTGAGACAGTCAGTGGCCAACATTCTGGTCAGAGTAGCAGCGGAGTCCCAAGCCACAACTCTTTCCATCTTTTACAGGGGACGTMTTCTGGGATGCAGACACTGATGCAGACAGCCTGGCAGGCGAGCTGGACGAAGCTGTGGGCTCCAATGAGTGGCTGGCCCTCACCAAATCTCCCCAGGCCCTCTATGGTGGTCAACCCAGCTGGCAGGGGACCTCTGGGGCTCTTAGGGGCAGTCGAGATGTCCTAGCCGGCCTCTCCAGCAACTGCTGCAAGTGGGGGTGCAGCAAAAGCGAAATCAGCAGCCTCTGCTAGRCCAGCAGCTGAGCAGCCAGCGGACACCAGAGGTGGTGCCCCAGCGCGGCTAGCCACTGGCCTGTCTGACCGGCACTTGTCTTTCTCACTCATTCATCTTCAAGCCCCAGAGGCCAGGTGCCGTGAACTCAGCCAGTCCCCTCRCCCCCACACCTTGACCTGGGGCCCTAGGCCAGCTCTGTCCCTCCCTGGCCACATGGAGACCCCCCATCTTGACTTCTGACCTCGCCCCAACATCAGTCATGTCTCGGCCTGGCCCACACAGTCCCGTGTTCCTACTCTACCCAAACTGGCCCCAGGAAGACCTCTGCTCGACGCATGGCACCAACTGTGGTGGCTGATCCCTCCCTGGCCCACCCACACGACGCCCGCATGCAAACTTTGCAGCTTCCTTTTCCCTGCCTCGCACCCCCTGTCCCTGCCAGTGCTCCATGGCTGCAGACCCCGGAGATGGGGCAGGGTTGTCACCCAGGTTCCCTKACAACCTGGGATGGGAGGCGCAGAATGAGCATCAGAACCTTCCACGACCCCAATAATAAAAGCTCGGAAGCCCTGCAGGGCGTGTGCGTGGCGCTGCTGGGGCGGGAAGCGGGGGCAGGTTTCCGCGGAGCCGGGCTCCGCCGCCGAGTCCCCCGGACGCCCCGGGCCACCCCCACATCCCCCGCCCAGCCCCAGCCMGTGGAGCCGGGGACTTTCCGCGGGGCGGGGGACGGGGCGGGACCGAGTCAAGGTGCGGGGGCGGGGCGGGGCTGGGCGACCCCGCCCCCGGCCGTGCCGGAGGCGCAGAGCGAGCGGCCGCGCAGGGCCCCGCAGGGCTGGGTGGCACCGGGGGTCCCGGGGAGTCATGCGGGGGCGCGGGGCTGCCCGCTTCTGGCCTGGGCCAAAGCTCCAGCTGCTGCTTCCGTTGTTCCTGCTGGTCCCCCGAGCGCGTCCCCTGGGTGAGTGGCGGGCAGGCTCGCGCCCTGCGCTGTCGGCCGCTGCGCTCGCCTCGGAGCGCCCCGTCTCCAGAGCGCGGCGCCCAGAGGAGCGAGGGGCGAGGGGCGAGGGCCGGCGGGAGAAGCCGGGGAGCGGGCGGCAGCGCGGTGGAAGGGAGCGCCGCGCGGGTGTGTGACAACAGGATGTGGCTGGCAGAAAGGAGGAGGAGACGCTTTGCCCAGAGCCCGGGCAGGGGTGCCCAGCGCCCCCGCCTTCACCCACTTCTGTTAGCGACCCCTGAACGCCCGCTGGCCGTTGTTAGAAGCCCCGGAAAGTCCAGTTTGAGGGATGTTCAGGCGACCGGGCCATTTGACCCCCTTCCTCGGGACCCTCTGCCTCCCTCTCCAGGCGGCCCCGGGCCACTGCAGTGCCACGGAGTTGAACCTTTGGGGAACTTGAACTGCTCATGGGAACCTCTTGGGGACCTGGGAGCCCCCTCTATGCTGCACCTCCAGAGCCAGAAATAGTGAGTACCCGGGGAGTCTGGGGAAACTGAGGCATTGAAGGTGGCCACTCAGGTCCCAGCTTGCTCTGGGCGAGGAGATTCAGGAGTTCGGCCCCCCAGCCCCAGTCCTCCCGGACTCTGCAGCCCGCCTAATTCCAGACCCTTCTATTCTTCTGCCTGACCTTTCCTTCTCTGAGCGTCCCTTTCCTCCCCTTTTAAAGTGGTAGTAAAAACGGAACCTGCTCCCAAGGTTGAGTCTGAGGATTCAACGAGGCACATGGCAAGGAGAAAACGCTTCATGCTTTTGAAGCTGTTTTATTATCCCTGTTTAACCTCAGGCAAGTAGTTTGACCTCTCTGAGCAGACAGACAGATCAGCCGGTTGCTCTGGATCCAGCTGTGAAAGAGGTAGATTAAAAGCCCAGCCCTCATGGGGTCCAGAGTTCAAGGCAGAGACCCGAGCCACATCGTGGGTACTTTCTTCTTCTTCTTCTTCTTTTTAATGGTGGTTTAAATACACACAAGGCACAATTTACCATTAGTGGTTACCGTTAGTAACCACTTCTAAGTATTCCATTCAGCAGCCTCAAGTACACTCACGGTGTCATGCGGCCACCACTGTCCATCCCCGCAAGTGCGCGTTTTAGTTGGTAGAACGTGGGAGAGTGGGGGATGTCCCCTCTCCCGTGTGAGTGAGATGAAATTCCTGTCACAAAACTGTTCTGAAGTGCACAGTTCAGAGGCATGGAGTCCCTTTGCGCTGTTGGCCACCAGCCCCGGCCCCAGGGCAAACCCAGGCGCCTGTCCCCCTCCTGGTCCCTGACAGCCTCCATGGACTCTCCGCGTCTGGATTTCATGCCTGAAGCTTTGGAGTCACGCGACACGTGGCCTTCGAGGCTGCCTCCCCTCCCTCCACCTCAAGGGTCCCGGGTCCCGTCTGTGATGTGGCATGGGGTGTCTCCATTGTCCCGCGTGGGGACAACATGGGCCCCGCGTGCGTCTTCCCAGTTTGCTTCATTCCCCCTAGAGATGCGGGCTGTCTGCCTGTTGGGGTATAGGGCTGCCCTGCGTCTGGGCCTGCGAGTTCCTGTTCCGGTCCCTGTTCCCTTCCCTGGGGCCTGGGGCCGGGGGTGGCCTTGCTGTCCTGTGGCCGTTCTGTGTTCAACGTTGAAACTGCACCTGCGCCTTTCGCATTCCCACCGGCCTCGGAGGACTGTGCCGGTTTCCCCACATCCTCACCAACACATGGTTTTGGGGGAGTCTTCTTTTTTGTCTTGTTTTCGTGACTGAGGCGTGAAATCCAAGCTTTGGGGCTCTCCTCAGCCTCTCCCCCTTCCACACACACATCTCATCCTCCATCAGCCAGCCCTAGTGGCTCCCCCTTCCGCGTTACCCGCGACCCTGCCGTTCCTCCCAGGTCCCCAGCACCTACCCTGACCCACCATTGCCACTGGCCAGAGCTGTGCTGTCGGGTGCCTCCTGGTCCCTGGTTTCCAGGTCAAACCCCACGCTCTTAACACCTGGGTCAGCGCACACCCCTCCTCTGCTCAAGAACACTCCATGGCTCCCACCTCATTGAGAGCAAAAGCCCAAGTCCTCCCTTCAGCCCCTGAAGCCCTGTACAATATGCCCTATCACTTCCCCGCCTCTCCTCCCCCCACTCCCGCCATTGCTGGCTCCCCCCCAGCCACGTGGCCTTTCTACTGTTTCTCAAACACTAGCCACAGTCTACACCCGGTCTGATTGCTCGTGGTATSCCACCACCTGGCATGGCTTTGACTGTAGGCTTCGCTTCCTTTTCTGCCCCTGGAACAGCTCCAGAGGGCAGCCCTTTGTTTGGGTTTTAGTTCTAGTCTCTGCTTCTAGAACTTGGCTGTTTGTTGGCTGAATGGTGCATGGACCCGAATGTGCATATGTACAGTCAATGCTCAATAAATATCATAACATGCACAGATGTTCCTCCTATTGTATAGTCCACCTATTGTAAGTTTAAAATAGGGTGAGTCACAAAGGAATCGAGCTGGGCGGGGTGGCGGGCGGGGGGCGCAGTCAGTGCCCCCAGGCTCCCCCCAGGCTCCGGGTTCAATCTCCAGCTCAGAGGGCCTCCCTGGGCCTGCGCATGGGCAGGAGCATCTAATGAAAAGCCTCCTTTATAACTAAGTGTCCAGCCTCTCGTGAAATTTAYCGAACACTTCACTGAAATGGAAAAATGAGAGTTGTCCAGAATCGCCGGCCCAGGAAAAGATCAGAATTTACAACAAAATATCTGCGTGTGGTGCTGGGATGGAGCCCAGGGCCTTGCCCGGGCCGAGGGCTGCACCATGGAGCCCCACCCAGAGCTCCAGACCTGGAACCCGGTTTCCACCTGCACCATCGTAAAGTTGAAAATCTCCAGTGGAGCTGCCATCATGGGCGACCCTCTGTATCAGGTCCCCATAGCTGTTTATTCTCCTTTGGTGTTTATTCCCCTCCCCTCTCCGCCTTTTCAGTTGGACGGTTATTGCCCTCATCTCGTGGGTGAGAAAAGGAGGCACAGAGAAGTCAAGCTCCTTCCTCCAGTGCACACAGCTCCGAAGCACCAGCGCCGGGCTTTGAACCCAGGCGAAGGCCAGCTGTTCCAAGGGCCGTTGTCCCGTGGCCCTGGCTCCAAGCTGGAGCCGTCTCATGCTCACATCTCTCCTCACAGCCATTCCAACAGAACCCGGACCGTGGCGGTGGCCGCGGGGCAGAGCTGGGTGACGGTTCCTCGGGAGCAATTCACCGCGTCTGACACTCTGCTCGTCTGGGGGACCAAGGCAGGCCAGGTCCTCTGGCCCCCCGTCCTCGTCAACCTGGAAACCCGAAGTAACGTGGCGGGGGGTGGGGAGCTCTGGCCGGGGTGGGTGGTTCTGGGGGCCCCGGCTCACTGCACCTCGGCCTCCCTCCCCAGTGAAGCCCAGAGCCCCCCGGCTGCGTCCCGAGGTGGACTTTTCAGAGGACGAGCCCCTGGAGGCCACGGTGCAGTGGGAGCCGCCTACCTGGCCACCTCATAAGGTCCTGATCTGCCAGTTCCACTATCGAAGATGCCCAGAGGTGGCCTGGACGCCGGTGAGTACCAGGGACTCTCTTTCCCTGCCCCGTCCCCAGCAAGTCCCGGGGCATCGTCTCCAGGTCGGAGCCCAGCCCTGGGCTGGCTCTGCACCTGCCCCAGTCTCCTGCGCCCTGTGCCCGTCTTCCTTCCTGCCCCACGTCTTCCTCCCACAGTCATCTACAGCCAGCCCCCCACTTCCAGGGGCGCTGCGCCCCCAGTTTGCCAGATGGGGAACACAGGGGGCTTTGGGATGTGTGGACTGGTTTTCTTGTCCTTGTCCACTAAACAATGCAGCGTAACAAATAGACACGCAGCCTTGACGTTGCGTTAGGTTTTACAAGTCGTCCRGAGAGGGTGGCCGGCCTGCGGGAGGACGTGCTGAGTCCTGTCCCAGGGCTGGGCTGTTTTATCGAAGGCACTTGGGCATCCTGGGATTTTCGTATATGCAGGGTCCTGAAACTCCCCTGAGGGTGCCCAGGGCTGGCGGTGTAGGTCTCACACAGGCACCGACCAGATACACTTGGAATACTTCAGAAGCTCAAAACGTCTTTCTCCTTTTCTGGAATGAGTAAAAGTCCTGGAGTGGCTTGAGTTAACCTTGAAATAATAACATGGCGATGTTCAGAGAACACCCCCCACCCCATGTGCCTGCCCGGCTCTGGGTTCTCTGCAAACACGAGTGTATTGAATCCTTCCATGAACTTGTGGAGGTTGCTGGCTTTGACRCCTTCCCATTGTAGTGCAGTGCCATGCAGCCTGGCTGTCAGCGACGGTCAGRAACAGATGATCAAAGCCACTGAGCCTGGCATGGTGCCTGTGGTCCCAGCTACTTGGGAGGCTGAAGTTGGAGGATGACTTGAGCCCAGGAGTTCAAGGCCAGCCTGGGCAGCATAGTAGAACCCCGTCTCAAGAGAAAAAAAGAGGGCTGGGGATGTGGCTCAAGCGGTAGCGCGCTCGCCTGGCATGCGTGTGGCCCGGGTTCGATCCTCAGCACCACATACCAACAAAGATGTTGTGTCCGCCGAGAACTAAAAAAATAAATAAATATTAAAAAAAAAAGAGAAAAAAAGAGATAGATATCCATTTTATACTTCTCTTTATACAGAGAAGTTAGGCAACTTCCCCAAGGTCACACAGCAGGAAAGTGGAAGACAAGGCTAGAGCAAGGGGACCCCAAAAGGAGTAGAGGGACCCAGGCAGACAGTTGAAGAGCACCATCTGGAAGTTGTATAGGGTATTTCCTTTCATATTTCAGTGGTCAAGAACATTGTCACATGGTAGCATGTGATTGCAAACGAGTCGGGAAATGTCCTTGTTCTTGGCAGCCATGTTCCCAAATAACCTTCTGGGGATCTGTTCCCAAAGGAAGAAGGGGAGAATAGACGTTGGGAATATTCAAGTGCCGTAGCCGCGGCCTTAGACACAGAACGCCATGGTGGAGCTGGTGTGCACGTGGTCCCAGCCTCTCAGGAGGCTGAGGCAGGAGGCTCACTTGAGCCAGAAGCTCCAGGGAAGCATAGCAAGACCCCGCCTCCTCCAACAAACAGAACAAGACGACCCGTAAAGAGCAGAGCTGCCTTCATTGTGATCATCTTGCAATTGAGACGAGGGGGCTCTGGACCCTGGCTCCCTGTAAGGAACTGCAGCTCCAGCTCTCAATGGCTCTGTGACCTTGGGCAATCTCCTCACCTGTAAAATAGGGACGGTGCTGGAACCTCCCACCTGCCTCTCCACCGAGCGCGTAGGATGAGCAGCTTCTCTCTCTCGGGAGGGACACTGTCGGTTTTAAGCTGAAAGCCCCATGTTCTGGAACCCGCTCAGCCCTGGGCACACCGGGGGGGTCGGTCACCCCGGGACGACCCTCAGCTCAGAGCCCCCCTCTCTCTCCCCCGCCCTCCTCCCAGCTGGAGCCCGAGCTGAAGACGGCACCGCTGACCGCCATCGAGATCCCAGACCTGGAGCTGGCCACCCGCTACGAGGTGTCCGGCCGCTGCCGGGTGGACACAGAGGCCGAGCTGTGGGGCGAGAGCAGCCCGGTTCTGTCCTTCCAGACGCTGCCCTCTGGTGAGGAGTCCAGGCTGGCCCAGGACCTGGGCCCCTTTTGCTAGGAAAATCTGGCCGATCCTGTCCCTTTCATTTGCCCCCGTTTCCTCATCCTTCCAGCTCCAAAAGACGTGTGGGTGTCTGGGAACCTGTGTGGGCCCCCGGGCAGACAGGAGCTGCTGCTTCTGTGGAAGGTAAGCCCTGGGGGTGGGTGGTCTCTCTCCAAAACCCAAGGGCACCGGCAAGACAGGGGACTCTGCTGCCCCCTGGAGGTTGCTTCAGGGATTCAGGGCGAGATGCTCCGGGGGCCTGGCCCAGCCCCTGGCCAGGAGCACACCTCCACCTGTGTCAGCCGCCTGAGAGACCTGACACCTGGCACAGGTACAGAGGGGCGGCAGGTGTGCCCTACCTTCATATTTATTTATTTAATGCAGTGTTATGGATCGAACCCCAGGTCTCGTGCATGCTAGGCCAGCACTCTACTACTGAGCTACACCCCCAGCCCCACACTTTGAAAAAAAGGGTTTTTTTTAGTTGTAGATAGACACAATGTTTTTATTTTATTCATTTATTTATATGAGGTGCAGAAGATCGAAGGCAATGCCTCACACATGCCAGACAAGTGCTCTACCACTGAGCCACAGCCCCAGGCCACCCCTAGTTACTATATTAACCAAGTTTACAGATGAGAAAATGAGACTCAGAGGTTGCACCAGCCACACAGCGACAAGGAGCAGAGCTGAGATTCACTGGCTTTCACACAGTGGTTATCAGCTCCAGTGTCTTCATTTTATGATATTTTATAATATCCATGTACTATGCCAAAATGAAATATGTAGATAACACGATTCATGTATTCATATGTTTTAAAATATACACATGAGGCCCGGTTCAGTGATGCATGCCTGTATTCCCAGTGACTCACGAGGCTGAGGTAGGAGGATTGCAAGTTCAAAGCCAGCCTCAGTAACTTAGGAGGGCCTTAAGCAACTTAGTGAGACCCTGTCTCAAAATTARTATTTTTTTAGTTGTTGATAGACCTTTTTATTTTATTTATTTATTTGTGGTGCTGAGAATCGAATCCAGTGCCTCACACATGCCAGGCAAATGCACTACCGCTGAGCCCCAGCCCCAACCCCGAAAAATTAATATTAAAAAAAAAAAAGGTTAGGGATGTGGCTCAGCGATAAAGCATCCTGGGCTCAATCCCCAGTTCAATCCCCAATATGTATGTATGTATATGTGAATATGTGAACACACACACAAGAAAATCTTAAATTGTAGCATTAAGCAGAAAATGAAGACGAAATAAGGCTACTACATAAATGGCAAAAGATTCACTTCACCAGGCTTACATAAGAAGACTTAATCTGTATGTACCTAATAACATAGCTTCAAAATATATAAAGCAAATATTGGCAGAAATATAGGAGACATGTATGGGTCCATGATCACTGTGAGAGATTTTAATACATTTTTACATTCAGTAATTTACATAATAAGCAGATTGRAAACAAGCTAAGATCTAGAAGATTTGAACATATGATTTCAAACTTAACCTCATGAACTTATCTATGAAGCATCAGAACGCACATTCTTTTCGTACACACACAGAATATTTACCAAAATTAACCATGTGCCAGGCCATAGACCAGTTTCCGGGTACCTTAGATGGGCAAGGTGGTTGAAAGACTGGATTGGATCCTCAGCCCTGAAAAAAAAAAAGTCTGTTCTTTGAATCAGTTGAATTATTATGCAGGTTTTCTGTCTAAGTTAGTTTCCAGTGGGGATGATATTAAAATGTCTCAAGGGGCATGGGACAATTTTGGGTTTTGTTTTTCAGGACAGTGTAGCACCCCTGACTCTCGCCCATCAAATATCAAACATGGAAGCTACCAAAAATTTCCACTTATTTGCCCAAAGCCCCCTGGAAGACCCCATCCCCTTGGCTATACCTATCCCTGAGGACCAATAGTGGGGAAATGTGAAATCCCTTAGAAATGCACAGGACAGAGAAGAGGGACTCAGGAACAAAATTTAAAGGGATACCCAAGAACTCACTATTTGAGATAAATAATACATTAATGCAATAATTTTAAAAATCATATCAGCAAACTAGAGTCCCAGGACCAGGGATCTCTCTTTGTAAACATAGTTTGATGGTCACTGGAGCCAAGATTAGGGTGAGGAGATCAGGGCCGGTCACACCAGTGGAGGACTGGATCTTGTCTTTATTTATTAATGTTTGCAGAGCTGGGATTGAACCCAGAACAAGTTCCTGCAAGTGCTCCACCACCAAGCCACCTTCCCAGCCTACATCCTGGCTTTATGTAAAATCTCCATATTTTGTTGGTCTTAAATTTCTGCATTAATTTTGATTTATTAAAATACCACCGTCCGGTGTTGTCTATGTGGGTTACTGGATTTTGGGTATCCCCCACCACTTAAATTTTATACCCAAAGAGAGTGTCTCTCTCACCTCCCCTCGCCCTGGCCCTCATCCATACCCCACCTCTGCCGTGAGTCCCTCTGAGGCCCAGTCCCCTCCACTGCGACATGGAGGGGACATCCTGCCTCACTGACGGGTAACCTCACTCCGATGCGGGGTGGGTGCTTGAAAAGTGAGGCGCACAGGGGCTGGGGATGTGGCTCAAGCGGTAGTGCGCTCGCCTGGCATGCGTGCGGCCCGGGTTCGATCCTCAGCACCACATACCAACAAAGATGTTGTGTCCGCCGAGAACTAAAAAATAAATATTAAAAATTCTTAAAAAAAAAAAAAAAAAAAAAAAAGTGAGGCGCATTGACCCTTCTGCCCCCTCCACAGGCCCCCGGGCCCTGCGTGCAGGTGAGCTACAGAGTGTGGTTGTGGGTTGGAGAGAAGAGCCTGATTCAGGAAGGGGTCTCCTGTTGCAAGTGCCCGGTCCCCCCCTGGGCAGCGTGGGCAGGGGTGTCTGCTGTCAACACCACCAGCTGGGAGCCACGCACCAACTTCTCTTTGGTCTGCTTGGGTAAGAGGTGATGGACTTCCTCAGAGCCTTGGTGGCAGGGGACGGGGGTTCCTGAGTCAGCAGCGAGACTTCTCCGCCCCACCCTCTAGCTCCGGACTCTGCCCCCCATGATGTGGTGGTCAGCAGCACCCCCGGGAGCACGCAGCTGCTGGTGACCTGGCAACCAGGGGACGGGGAGCCACTGGAGTACGTGGTGGACTGGGCTCAAGATGGGGACACTCTGGAAGACCTGAACTGGGTGCGGCTTCCCCCTGGGAACCTCAGTGCTCTGTTGCCAGGTGAGGCCTCGGGACAAGTTGGTTCCCATCTGTATTAGTCCATTTTCTGTTATTTGAACACCCTACTTGAGGTTGGGTACTTATAAAGAAGAGGGGTTGTTCATGTCACAGTTTGGGGGCTCGTGAGCATGGTTAGCATCTGCTGCTTCTAGCGAGGGCCTTCATGGCTGCATTACAACATGGCGGATGGCCTCATGATGGGAGTGTGTAAGAGGAAGAGACCACAGGAAGCCAGAGAGGGTTCAAATTAAGCAGAGAATAAAGAGGAAATGCGGTTGTTACCTAAGGGCAAAATATTTAGTTTACCAGGATGATGTAAAAGTAGTTCATCTGTAAGTACCTCATAACATGACTTTGAAATAYATAAAGCAAAACTTGACAGAGCTGTAGGAGACATGTATGCATCTGCAACCACTGTGGGAGATTTTTTTTTTTTAAATTTAGTTATAGATGAACACGATATCTTTGTTTTGTTTATTTATTTTTATGTGGTGCTGAGGATTGAACCCAGTGCCTCACATGTGCGAGGCAAGCACCCTGCCACTGAGCCACAAACCCAGCCCCATGGTGGGAGATTTTAACACACCATTCTCGGTAATTTCCCCTCGACAGAGAACGGTCAGGCTCACTCTTTTCTTTTTCTTCCCCGGGATAGGGATGGAACCCAGGGCCTTGTGAATGTAGGCCAATGGTCTACTACTGAACTACACCCCCAGCCCAGACTTACGCTTTTATAACTCACTCTCATGGGGAGTGACAAGGCTCTCATGAGAACCTTGATCTTTTCCAAGGGTAGCCCCCCTAGAGACCTAACTATCTCCCGCCAGACCCCACCTCTCGGGGGTCCCACGTCTCCATACACAGTACCACCATACTAAGGACCACGCTTCCGACATACGAACCCTGGGGGGGGGGTCACACTGAAATCATATCCAAACCATAGCCCCACCCCAGCCATTAAAGGAAGAGTTGACTGATGGGTGGGCTTGAGAGAGAGAGGGTTAGAGTTAGTAGTTCATGTAAGAAATATTCATCTGCCACCAGCCACGGGTCAGGCTCTGATACAGGCACTGGGGCTCGGTGACACAGCTGATGAACAGTGGCGTGTACTTTAAGCATGAAATCATTCAAACTTCCTTACAAAGTAGGTTTCTCTTATTATCATGCTCAATTTATAGATGAAGAAACAGGCCCAGGGATGTTAGGTAACTTGCCTAAGGCTACACAGCACGTCCATGGAACAGCCTCTGTGTTAACCAGATAGTCAGGCTCCTGAAGCCAAGCCCTGAGCCATCCTGTTGAAGCATTTTCCTCTCAGCCTCGTCCCTACCCTCATGCAACTGACATTCTTGTGGGGTGGGCAGCTCTCCCACCAAACAAAACAAAAAAAACAACCCAGGCATTTCTTTAACATAATCAAGGAAAAAGGAAAGCAGAGGTTATTTTGGAAAGAAAAGTTAGAAGATGATCCTCTGGGGAAGTGACATTTAAGCTGAGGAAAGAAAAAGGGAGACCTGAGGATATTTGAGGGAAAAGCATTCTAGGGTGAGGGAACAACAGCCCGTACCAAGGCACTGAGGCAGGATTGTGCCCGGTGGGTTGGAGGGACAGCAGGGGGGTGGTGTGCTTAGAGTGGAGTGAAGGGGGAGGATGGAGGAGGTCATGGGGTAGAGTATGCAGGGACTTTGGGGGAAGACTTTGCTTTGGGGCTGAGTGAGGTGGGAGCCATAGAGGATTCTGAAGGAGGAGGGAAGTGCCCTCACCCCCGTGCTCACAGGTGCCCTCTGGCTGCTCTGAGGGGAAGGGACTGTGGGGCGGGGAAGGGCAGGAGCTGAAGGTTCAGGAGGGAAACGGTGGGACAGGATCGGGTGGGGACCCGGGTTGGGGCAGAGGCAAGCAGGCTCAGGTTAGGGGGTCCTGGTTGGGGGGCCTGGGGACGGTGTCGGTGTGTCACATCTGAGACGCTCCGCGGCCCCCCACGGGAGCCTGTCCTGGGCCTGCCGGGTCCTGGGAGCCGTCTGTGGGATGCGCACGGGGTTGGGGGGGGGACAGTAGGGCAGCGAGTGAGAAAGCAGGGACAGTCCCATGGCCCACGAGTACCCCTGAGCCACGGGGAAGGACCCCGGCCCTGAGACCCCCGGCTCGGACACTGTGCAGAAGCCGCGGGTCTCCACGGGGACCTCGAGGGTACCCCGACCACGGGGCGCTGCCCAGCCCGCCCAGCCCGCGCCTCCCAGCTGCCCGCAGCCGTTTGCTGGCCGAGGCCGCTGTCTGGTCAGGGGCGCAGGGAAGTGCTGGGGAAGGGGACCCGCGGCGCAGCCAGGGAGGTCATGGTCATCCGCGGACGGTCATGGCGGGGAGAAGCCGGCTGCTCTCTGCTGCCCCCACAGGTTCCCGGCGCCCTGAGCGCGGTGGTCCCCCCGGGGACCCCACTCCTCCTTTCCCCTCTGGGGCTGCTGGGGGTCAGGCCCAGGGACGGAGAGCGGCCCCTCACCAGGGTCTGCTGGCCCTTCCCTCTCCCCCTCCCTCTCCTTGTCCCTTTCCACGGCCCTCCTGGTTTTTCTGGGTGGCCTTCCAGGAAGACCACACCCCCGTCCTCATCCCAGGGTGTCCTTTGGGGACCCAGGGAGGACACTCCCAAGTGGGAAGTGGGCAGGGAGGGAAGGCCGGCTTCAAATCGCTTTTTGTCCCTTTGCCACCCAGGGACTTTCAAAGGAGGGGTCCCCTATCGGATCACAGTGACAGCGGTCTTTCCGGGGGGCTTGGCCCCCGCCTCCTCCGTTTGGGCTTTCCGGGAGGAACGAGGTAGGAAATGAGGCTGGGGGGGGGGTCCTGGGACCCCGGCTGGCTTCCACCTACCGCGCTTCTCCCCAGCACCCCTGGCAGGGCCGACCCTGTGGCGACTCCAGGATGACCCCCCAGGGACTCCCACGGTGGCCTGGGGAGAGGTCCCAAGACACCAGCTCCAGGGCCACCTTACTCACTACACGTTGTGCTCAAGAAGTGGGTCGAACCCGGCCGACTGCACCAATGGTGAGCCTGCTGCCTCCTGCCCACGGGCCCCTTGGCTCCCCCTCCTCCCATGGGGACATGATGTCATTAGTTCCTTGAGGGACAGTAACCCTCTTGGCTATCAGTGAAATGGCCTCTTATTAGGCCATTAAAAATGAAGACTCCAATCTATATTTATTGACAATGAAAGATGCCTGTTATATTTTATTAAGTGGAAAAGATAAAAGGATTATGAAACTCTGATATGATTCCTTTTTTTGGTAAAATAAACCGGTATTGAAGCCAGGCTTGGTGGTGCATGGCTGCAATCCCCAAGACTCGGGAGGCTGAGGCAGGAGGATCACAAGTTGGAGGCCAGCCTGGGCCACTCAGTGAGACCCTGTCTCAAAGTGAAAAATACAAAGGGCTGGGGGTGTGTGTGGCTCGTGTTAGAGCGTCCCTGGGTTCAGACCCCAGCAAATAAAAGTGAGCACTAGTTTGGCCCCTCAAACTTGTGGCTAGTGTTTTCCGACTTGTGTGTTTTCACTGGATGATTGAAGTTTGGACCCTTCCTACACCAATATCTCTGGATCCCTGTTTGTGTCTTCCTCTACTTCTTCTTTGATTAAATAAACAAAAAAGGAGGTTTTTATTTATTTACTTTGTACTAGAGATTGAACCCAGGGGTGCTTAACCACTGAGCCACATCCCCAGCCCTTTTTATTTATTTATATTTTCATATTTTTTAGTTGTATATGGACTTTTATTTTGTTCATTTACTTACATGCGGTGCGAGGATCGAACCCAGTGCCTCGAACACGCTAGGCAAGCGCCCTTCCACTGAGCCCCAGCCCCAGCCTTTTATTTTTTGAGTCAGGGCCTCCTTAAATGGCTCACTAAGTTGCTTAGGGCCTCCTTAAATGGCTGAGGCTGCCCTCTAACTTGCAAGCCTCCTGTCTCAGCCTCCTGAGCCAATGGGATGACAGGCATGTGCCACCGTGTCCAGCCTCAATTCATTTTGTTAAAAAAGTAAATAAGAGTCATTCTGGGAAGTCTGAATGCCTCTGCCAACTCCCACCGGGTGCCAGACAGGGGAGGGATGTGTCACTGTGTGTGCTAGGCGCTGACAGAGCCCCTGGGAATGTGGCCGTTATGGAGCAGTCCAGGGCCTCACTGCATTGCCCAAGCTGACCTTGGGCTGCGGGGCCCAACACCTCATCCCAGTAGCTGGGGCCACACGCGTGCCCTTGATCATTTCTGTTTTCTTTTTCCATTTGTACTGGGGACTAAGCCCGGGGTCCCCGCGTGCTGGGCACCACTGTTCCACTGAGCTGCAGCCTGAGCCCGGGACCTGACTTTCTAACGGGTGACCCACAGACAGACAAGCCAATACTGTCTGTGTGGTGTGCCAGATGGTGATGAGCTCTGGGCCGAGAAGAAAGCAGGGAAGGTGTTGGGGGGGCGTGCAGGGGGCACAGTTTTAAAGGGGTATTCAGGGAAGAGCTCCCTGAGGAGTGACATTTGAGAGAGAGAAGGAGGGAGCCACCTGGGTATCTGGGGGACAGTGTCACCAACAGAGGAAGGAGCACATACCAAGGTCCTGAGGCAGAGCTGCCACCTCCCCAACCTCTCTGGTTGTGTTCTTCAGTGAGCAGCAGCACCCGGATCGTCACTCTGCCCAGCCTTCCCTGGGGTCCCTGTGAGCTGTGGGTGACTGCCTCCACCATTGCAGGACAGGGCCCCCCTGGCCCCAGCCTCTGGCTTCACCTACCAGGTAGGGGCCTGGGGTGGAACTGCGGGCTCCATTGGAGGGTAGGGGACAGTAGAGTCATTACACAGACCGCAGTGGGTGGACAACCTTCTGCTTCATGGGAGGATTATTTTTAGGGGTGCTGAACCCAGACCCCTGTGCATGCCAGGTGGGTGCTCTGCCACGGAGCCCCCCAAGTCCTTGGAGGCCTCTCGAGTCTGCTGAATGCTGTGGTGACACTCAGGCAGGCGTGTGACCTGCAGCTTCACCCCACACCTGACCCTGACCTGTCCTCCTGGAGGCCGCACCCCCACCCCGGGATTGTGCCTCCCTAGGCCCTTCCCATCGGGGCCGCCCGCTCCCCTCCCCAGGCCCTGCCTGGGCGTGGGCCCTGTCCCTCCTTGGTGTCCACGCGGTCTGTCTCTCCTCCCACCTTCCAGATAACGCGGTGCCGTGGAGAGTTCTGCCGGGCGTCCTGGCCCTGTGGGGGCTGCTCCTGGTGGGCTGCGGCCTGAGCCTGGCCATGGCTCCAAGGTGAGGGGTCAGGCCCGCTGCTCTCTGCCCTGGTGCCTGGCGCGGGCACCCGCTGAGCTCCCGTGGGGGCTGGGAGGAGGCCTGCGGTCTGTGACAGCCCGGTTTCTGCCCCTGGGCCCGCCTCTGGCCACAGGGACAGTTGCCCCGACTCCTCCCTGCTCACAGGTGCCTCCACCTTCGACAGAAGGTGCTGCCCCCCTGGGTGTGGGAGAAGGTTCCTGACCCCGCCAACAGCAGCGCCGGGCAGACCCACGTGGAGGTAAGCGCCGCCCACTGTGCCGGGCGCCAGGGGGCTCCGGAATCCCAGGTTCTCCTGGGGCAGAGTGGGGGTCGAGGGTTCAAAGCCAGCCTTGGCACCTGAGCCAGACTCTGGGTCGAGAGAAGGGCTGGTGCGTGGCTCCGTGGTCCAGCGGCCTGGGCGCCGTCCCTGATGCTGAAAACCCCAAACAGGTCAGCTGGGGGAGCCCTCTGGGGAGTTAGGGGTCCCGGACAGGGGGTGTGAGGAAGTGGGGGGACAGGAGGAGAGGGTCTCAGTCTTCTCTCTTCCCAGGAGGTGCGCCAGGCCCCCCCTCTGACTGACTTGCCSGTCCTGAAGGTAGAGGAGATGGAGCCACCAGCACCGCAGGAGCCCCCCCAGTCCCCCGCCCCACTTCACTCTGGGTATGAGAAACATTTCCTGCCCACACCAGAGGAACTGGGCCTCCTGAGGCCCCCCAGGTTTCAAGATCTGGTCTGAACCTTGCCCCAAGCTGGGGGCTGCAGGACAAGCGAGAAGGGTGCTCATGGATGCTGCTCCCCAGCCCTGGGTTAAACCTCTTGACAGATGAAGACACTGAGGCTCAGAGAGGCTGAGTCACTTGTCTGAGGACACCCAGCCAGGAAGTCCTGAGGTTGAAGGACCCCTTCAGAGAAGGGCCCAGCCCCAGCAGGGAATGGACGAGGAAGTGAAAGAAAATGTATGCCATCCGCGAGCGGCCGCTCCCTCCGGAAGTCTGTCCTGCCAGAACAGAACTGCACTTGGGCACGGTCCTTTGCAGCTAGGTCAGTCGTGGACTGAGGTCTTGACAACTGTGGGGGCAGCCGGAACCTGAGCAGGAGTGCCCTGTGCCAGCGTCACGTGGGGCTCTTCTCTACGCCTGCTCCCTTTCCTGTGAGCTGGCACAGGCGCTCGCTGGGGCCACACCCAGGGGACGGTGAGGCAAGACATGGAGAGGAAACCGCGTCCCTGAGTAACTGCGTGGATCCGAGCCTGAATCCCTGAGGGACCGCATGGAGCGGAGCCAGAATAAACGCTGGTGTCCTAATGGCTACTGCAGCCTGAGGTATTTTTGCTGCGGCTGCCTCTGGCCTCTCGCTGGCTCCGAGGGGAAGCACGTCCTCAGTTTCCCCCCAGGAGCCGATGCAGGATTCTTTGCTGACACCACGCACACATCCAAGCGTCCGAGTGCTTTAAGGGTTTATTTTCAAGTATAAAGGCTTTGTCACAGACGGGAGCCAGGGTCACAGGCAGTGGGCAAGGTGGACGTGCAGGCCAGCTGGTCTGTGCCTGGAACCCCCTGCCGGGTGCCCAGAGGTGAGGTAGCTGTGGGCGGAGCCGGGCGAGGCGGGGGCGTGGCTCACATCAGGGCGCAGCACTGGCACGACTTCTGCTTGGGGCCCCTGGCCTCTTCGCCCTCGGCCGGGGCGGCCGGCTCGGGCTGCCGGGCGGGGGCGTAGGTGGGCGCGGGGTGGGCACTGGGGTTGGCTCTGGGCCTCCCCCGCTGGAGCAGAGGCTGCCTCTCGGTGGGCTGCTGTGCGGCTGGGCTCGCTCTCAGGAGGGGCATGGCGTCCCCTGGGGGCCCCTGGCTCTCCGCAGGGGTTCGGAGCTGCGCGGCTTCCTCCTCCAGGGGCCGCGGTCCCTCCCCTGGCACTGGCTCCTGCTTGACCCCAAGGGTGGCCCCGGCCTCGCTCACCTCCCCCTGGGACTCCGTCCTTTCCCCAGACTCTCTCTGCCCTCCTGAGCCCAGCTCTTCCTCAGTCCCCTGGGTCTTCTGTGCCCCGAGTCCTTCCTCACCTCCCTCCCTCTCTGCCCCTGAGGCTGCCTCACCTCCTTCCCTCTCTGCCTCTAGTGCTTCCTCACCTCCCTCCCTCTCTGTCCCTGAGGCTGCCTCACCTCCTTCCCTCTCTGTCTCCGCTTCCTCACCTCCCTCCCTCTCTGCCTCTAGTGCTTCCTCACCTCCTTTTCTCTGCACCTGTGAGACTTCCTCTCCTTCCCTCTCTGCCCCTGAGGCTGTCTCACCTCCTTCCCTCTCTGCCTCAGTTGCCCCTGGCATTTCCTGGCCTCCTTTTTCCTCCACTCCCAGAGCTTCCTCCTCTTCTTTCTCTGCGGCTTGCTTTTCTTCCCCTCTTTCCTTCTCTGTCCCCAAAGGCCCCTCGACTTCTTTTCTCTCCACTCCGGACGGGTCCTCAGCTCTTTCCTCTGCCTCTGGCTGGTCCTGGCTCCTTTCCTCCTCTGCCCTCAAGGGTCCTTCACCGACTTTTATCTCGGTGCCCAAGGGCTCCCCAGCCGCTCCCTCTCCCTCACCTCCTCTCTCTGGCTGCTGTGGCCCCTCACTTGCATTCACAGCTGTGTCCCTCCCTGTCCCTGGCTTTGCCTCACTTTCCTCACCTCCCGCCCCCGGGGATTCCTCTGCTCGCCTCCTCCCCACCTCCCAGGCTTCCTGGCCTCCTCCCTCGGTCACCACGGGCCCCTCCAGCCCCTCCATCAGCAGCTCCTCCCAGTCCTCGCTGAGAGTCGCTCTTTCCACCCAGATGAAGGACCCCTCCTCCCCTCCAGAGCCCCCCTGCCCCTCGGCCTCGGGGCTGCCCCCGGGAGCACCTTCTCCCTCCCGGGAAGCATCTCCCTGCAGTCTCGGCCGGAGCCCTGGCAAGCTGCTCAGTGTGGCCTCTGGGCCCACCTCGCCGGCCTGCGACTCGGTGCCCCCCAGCCCCTCCCAGACCACCTCCGCCACACCCCTGTCCTCCTTCACCCAGGCTGGGAGCTCGGGGCTGCCAGCCCCCTGCCTGTCCCCAATGGCTTCCAGTACCACCTCCTCCACCCTCGCCTCCAGCTCCAGGCCCGATGTCCCCAGTGTCCCCGTGGCACAGTCCCCCGGGGCCCGCAGGCCCTCCCACACCACCTCCACCACGCCAGCCCCTTTGGCCTCCACTACACCCGGCTCCAGGCTCCGCTCCTGCTCCCTGCCAGGGCTGGGTCCAGGGCAGGGGCCGTTGGCTTCTGGGGAGGCCCCCACGGCCCCAGGGACCTGCCTCTGTGGTGGCAGAACCCCCGCCGCCTCCTCCTGGGGCTCAGAGGGGACCTCTGGGGAGGCGCCCACCAGTCCAGTCGGCAGGGAAGCTCTCTTGTCCGGCTCAGCCTGGCCTGGGCGTAGGTCAGCAGAGGAGAGGAAAGGCCAGGTCAGGGCAGGAGGGACCAGGGACCCTCCTCCTCATCCCTTGGGGCTCCAACACCCACCTGCAAGACCCGCCTCCATGGTGGGTTGGGAGACAGGACGGTGACTCTGCAGGGAGGGCAGAGACCAGGTCAGGTGGGCCCTGTCCCCTCCTCCAGCCTCCCTGCGGGCCAGTGCCCCTCCACAGCTCCCACTGTCTTCAGGACCCAACCCCCTCCCCTCAGCCTCCGGAGCCTGTGTGTCTCCCACTGCTGCAGGTCACACACSACAGGTGCTTCGACAAGGCTGTGCTCACAGAATGATCCCTGTGTCAGGGGCCTCCTCTGCCAGCTACGGGGTCAGGGCACACAAGACTGTTGTTATTGGAACTCATTTCAGTGAAGGAAGGAGGTGAAAAACAGGCATAAGYCGGGCGCCGGGGGCACATGCCTGTCATCCCAACGGCTYGGGAGGCTGAGACAGGAGGATCRCGAGTTCAAAGCCAGCCTCAGCAAAAGCAAGGCACTAAGCAACTCAGTGAGACCCTGTCTCTAAATAAAACACAAAATAGGGCTGCAGAGGTGGCTCAGGGGTCGAATGGCCCTGTGTTCAATCCCTGGCACCGAAACAACAACATAAAAACAAGAACAAAAAAAAAAAAAAATAAACATAAAGAAATAGATCATGCCAGGCAGTGAGAAGGGTTGTGGAGAGGCACAAAGTCAGGAAGAGGAGCTAGGGAGCGGCTGGGAGGCGAGAAGGGGCCTCCTGTAGGTATTAAATGCAGAGGGCCTCCTGGTAGAGGTGGCAGAACCGAGACCCGAAGGGTGGGATGAAGCAGTCAGGAGTCAAGAGGTGGGGATAGGCATTCCAGGCAGAGGAAATAGAAGTACAAAGGTCCTGAGGCCACCATGAGCTAGGCAAGTTAGAGGAATAGAAGAGAGGGTCATTGTGGCTGGAATGAAACGAAGGATGAAGAGGAGGAAGATGGGCTCAGGCAGGGCAGCAGGCAACAGCTCTGCAGGCGACCTCGGCCCGGCTCCAAGGGTGGCCTCAGTCTCTGACTCCATCTTCCTCTTGCCGGCTGTCAGGCCATTTAAGGGCTGTGCTTTCCCTCTTTGCAAATTCAACCTAGATGTCACTTTTCCTTTTAACTTACTGATGCTTTTGGGACCCCCAGGGCCTCACACGTGCCAGGCAAGCCTTCTGCGGCCGGGCTCCACCCCCAGTTCCCACAGGTAGGCCTCCCCTAGGTGACCCTCCACACTTAGGCTACCCCCTCACAGCTCCGGACCTGTCTCCTCCCCTAGACCGTGAGCTTCCTGAGGCCCAGACCAAACCTTGCCATCTCCAGCCAGGAACGGCCGGCCGACCCCAGCCCCAACAAGAGCTTTCCCCCAACTCAGTACCCAGCAAGCTCCTGGGGCTAAGGGAGGACAGGAGGGGTGGCACCGTGGAAGACCCAGCCCTCTGTGGACAGGGGTGAACGTTGCTGAATCTTTTGGACTTCAAGGAAAACCTAGGGAGCCAGATTATTATTATTTTTTTCCTGAACCAGGGATATAACAAAAGGCACTGGGCATCCAGGCACCTGCTCTGCTATTGCGTCACACCCCCAACCCTTTTTATTTTATTTCCAGACAATCACAATATCTCTGGTGACCCTTTGTGACTTCCAAGGCCGGATCCCAGGGACATCTGCCCACATTTTCTGCCGACATTCCTCAACTGGACCATACTAACAACCAAAATCCAAAACTTCCCTGTGCCTGCTACCAGGGCTATGATCTCCTGGACGCCCCCAGGGGTGCTTCCACGTGGTGCTGTCGCTATTCCCACTTTAGAGATGGGGAAACTGAGGAAGGGAAACCTACTTGCCGACCCCCTCCAAGCAAAGAAGTAGCAAGAGGTGGGTTCAATGTATCGCGCTGAAGGGCTCTCGGAGAAGGCCACGCCCCCTCCCCAACCCACCGCTCCTTAGTTCCTCACCTGTCTGCGCCAGGTGAGCCTACCCAAGGGTTTGTGCTGGGCACCTGTGGACGCACTTTGCAACAGCTGCAGCTCACTCTGGAGTCTGAGGGAGAGAAGCAGGCTGCTGGGTGCTGGGTCCTCAACTCAATTTGCCCCCTTCCCCAGTGATCCAGAGGTCCGGCCTGGCACCCCGGTGGGAGGGTGGGGGACACTCACGTGAACAAGCTGTCTTCTAAGTTTCTGATGCGTGCCTGAGCCTGGCCTTCCGGCGACTGGGGGTCCTTAGAGCCGGGATCCTCGGGCTGCTGTGGCCCTTCAGCGGCCCCATCCATTAGCCAACGCTCCCGGAGAGATTTCCTCTGGGCATGGAAGGGAACCCTGGGCTGGACATACAGACTACCCTACCCCAGGTGGTCCCCTCCTGACCTCAGCTCAGTAGATTCCTTACTGCCCCACAATCACCCAGAGGGGACACACATCGGGCTGGGATAGTGCTCAGGTTGATCCCCAACACCTCCAGATGGAACAAACACCCCACTGCCAGCCAGCGATGGCTTTCCCAGACTGGGACACACACCCCTCTGTCCCCTCAACCCGCCCAGAATGGGCAGAGACTGGGGGGGGGCACAACTCCTCCAAAACAAGACAGACGCTCCCAGAGGTGAAACCAACGTCCTTCCCTACGGCCCCTCCCTACCCCTAAGCTGCCCTAGGGCTCCCCTGGTGTCCCCCAAACTAGAACAAAGACCTCCTGGGTTCCCATGCTCTTCCCAGAGTGGGACTGCTGTCCCCAGGACCACCCCGCCCCATCCCCTCTGGGGCTGGGAAAGACGCCCCCCAAGCTGCGAAAGACGCCTCCCTATTGCCCACCCCCCAAATTGGGCAGAGGTTCCTGTCGTCCCGCAAACCGACCCGCGCAGACACCTCCGCCTCATCCCCCAGGCCCGGCCAGCGCCCCAACCTTGAGCCGCTCCACGCGGAGTTTCTCCTCCTCCAGTTCCCGGCGCGCCGCGCGGATCTGCTCCTGCAGCCGCCGCTTTTCCTGCGCACAGAGGACCSGGAGCTGCCCGCCGGCCGGGCGGGGCCCGCGGAGCCTCCGCCCCCTCCGCCCTCCTCCCCGGGGGCTCCCCCCGGCTCCGGGGCTCCCGGCCCCACGGGGCGGCCCAGCGCGGTGGGCACCCGGCGGGGAGGGGGCTGCGGAGGCGCTGACTCAGCAGCCGGCCGAGGGGTGGAGGGAGGGCGGGGCAGGGGGCGGGGCCGGCCGCGCCCGGGATGCTGCGGAAGCCTCGCCGCGCCCAATGGGGGTCGGTGGATGGAGGGCCCCGGGGGCGGGGCCTTGGGGTGGGCGTCCGAGGCGGTTGAGAGCCTGGCGGTCGGGCTACCGGGTCCATAGGGATAGGAGGGGGGTCCAAATACTGGATCCAAGGGAGGGTACTACTGACATGGGGGTCCGAAATGGGGGCGTCCGTCAGAGACACTGGGCTGGAGAGGTGGGGTCCAGAAAGATGGGGGTGGGTACGGTGGGGAGGATCAGGAGATGGGTGGCAGAGTCAGGGATCAAAGCTATAGGAGCGCAGAGGTGGGGATCAGAGATGGGGTGCAAAGGTGGGGTCAGAGGATGGGGGTACAGAGGGGTAGTCAGACATGGTACAGAGGTGGGGATGCAGAAGGGGCTACATGAAGTTGGGGCTCTAGGAGATGGGGTTCAAAGAGGGAGGAGAGAGAAATGGAGTGGAAGGATGGGAGATCCAGATAGGATCAGCGTGATGGAGGTCCAGAGGAGCGGGGCAGGAAGAACCCTGAGAGATGGAGGTCCATAAGGAGAGGCTCCGAGGATGGGGTCCGAGTCAGGGTGCAAGAGATGGGGTTGTCCGGGAAGCCCGACTCAGGGAGGAGGCTCCGATGAGGCAGGTTCTGGGAGTGCCGGGTCCACAGCCCCGCCATCCTGGGGTGGCATTGACTAGACAAAGGAGCCGGGGAGGGGAGGGGGCTGAGGGCTTAGAGCCCTGGGCAGGGCCGGAGCTTAGGACTCTGCTCCCCTGTTCACAGTGACAGACTTGCTCCCGGAGTTGGGGGAGACCAAGAAGCCTGGGGTTGGGGGGCGTTCCCCAGGGCGCAGGACCAAGCGCTCTGGGAGGGTGTCACTTACCGCAATGACCTCCAGCCGCTGCCGATAGAGGGAGCTCTCGGCCATGGGCCTGTGGGGAGAGGGCAGGGGCTGCGGATGGGGCTTTCAGGGCCCCCAATTCCTCAGCGAGCAGACCTCTGACACTCCCCTCTTGGCCAAGAACTTGGCGTAGCCGACAGGAGAGCCCAGAGTCTGCCTCTATTTCCCCTTTGCACCTGGGAGAAGCCAGGGCAGAGGACAAGGGAGGGTCTTGTGAGGGGATACAGGACAGAGACCACGGCGGGTCTCCTAGTCCGAGATTGCCTCCCTTGGCCTCAGTAACCTGATCTGTAAAATGGGTGTGAATAACTGAACCGCCTCCCCTTCTCATGTATCCATACAGGGAAAAGCATAAGGAATAGTGCTCCAAAAAATAGTACATTGTTTATTATTCATCATAATTTAATAATACCCATGAGCGATTCTATTGATGACTAATCATGATAACTATTTCAAGTCTGTCCTACCAGAAATCCTCAAATCCTGCCAGGCACCCTTGCCACACTTCTGTGGACCTCTCCTCCTATCCAGGATCCCTTACCTGCTGGGAGGTGAGGAAATCTGGGGAGAGAAATGGCCATCCCACCGTTGCCATGGTAACTCCTGAGCTGCCTCCTCCTCCTGCCAACCCCCTCCTGGGACAAGGGTCCCTGGGTCACGCTCCCTAGTACTGGACTCTGAGCTTCAAGGAGCGGGACTTGTGGTTTAAGGTTTAACCTGAGCCTCTCCATCACCGCCCTGCTCAAGGCACCTGCCGCCCTGCTTCCCAGCCTCCTCCCTGGTTTCCCCTGGAGGCTGGAAGCTGACCGGTGCTCAACGCCACCTGTCATTGTCACTTTGGCCCTTCATCGTCATGGACGTGTGCTGAGTGCTGACTCTCTTGCTACACTGGCCGCACTTCCATATCTAGAAAGTGACATCGAGCTGTCTGTTGTCCCCAATGTTGTCCCCGCTAGCCTGGGCTGGGTGCAGAGAAACCCTCAGAGGTTTATTAATTTGGATGCTAACCTTACTAGGGGACCATTAGAGCCTCACCTTCCAAGCTCCAGCTGGGACTTCCCAGACTCTACTGGCCACCATGAAAGCATAATGGCACTTGCTATATATARTGTCCTAAGTGCCTTGTGGGGCTTCCGCTGGGCTCCCACAGCCACCTCCGCCCGCCTCTCCTGCCATGACCAGGATTGTCTGGCTCTAGTCCACCAGCCGGGCTGACATTCCAACCGCGAACAGAAGCAGCCGACCGTCAGGGCGCTGGTCCCTGTGYCAGGCGCTGTCTTAATGCCTCACGCGCGGCACCCTCTTTAAGCCTCCCAGTGCTCCCTGGAGGTGATAGTACCATTGTCCCCATACTACACAGATGGGGAACCTGAGGCTCTGAGAAGTGGCAGAAACACTTGTTCAAGGTCACAGAGTCAGGAGAACTGGAGGCACTCACACCCCAAACACCRGACCCTGGGCGTGGGGTCCAGGAACCTTCCATTTGGCACCCAGGAGGCTGGAGGTAAGCCTGGGGTCCTGATTTCCACTGGGGACCGACGTCATGTTTTGCGGGGCATCCCTAAGGAAGCCCAGACTCCCTGCTTAAAGGTTTGTCCCTGGGGGAGGGCTGAAGTCCATTCTCTGCTGTCCTCTCCCCAAGATGTAATCTCCCTCGCCTCTCCCTCGCTGGGGGGGATTGGGTTCCCGTTGCTAGGCAACCAGGTTTGTAGTTGGTGAATAATGCAGTGGAAGACCCAGAAGGGTGAGGAACCGAATTGGGGTCCCCAGTGGGGGAGCCCCCTTTCTAGAACTCTTCACAAACCCTAGAACCCCTCTACTCCCTAAATTAGAAGGCCTTCCCATCTCACATATTAAAATACAACCCCCACACCTTTTGGTACTGTTTATCTCTAACTATGAGATGAGATCACYGGTGGTGGCCCTAGCCTGCCTATTGCCACCAGGAGTAGTTAGTTGGTGGCCATTTCATGAAGCAGGTCATCTTTTCGATTTTGTCATTGTCTCTCCGAGCTGGGGAGCCCTTCATTTCTCCTGTCGGATCTCAGGCACTCTGGCCATTCGATGGGGGGTGATTCCAGGGGCCAAGTGTGGAAGCAGGGGACCCCAGCATTCCCCGCCCCCCCGAACCCGGCAGTAGCCCCACCCCCAGGCTGGACTTTGGGCTCTTGGTCTGCCAGCAGAAAATCCGCGAAGAAGAAGTGTCCTGGGAGTCCACATCCCCCACCATAGTCTCCGGGGCAGGGGCCACTGAGGAGCCCATGAGGCTGGCCCCTGSCCTGTCCACTCTCTCGGGTTTCCTTGGGAAAGTCCAGATGGGGCTCTGGGCTCCCAGGCAAGGCCAGCATCCCCCCCAAGCCCCTTTCAACCCCGACCTCGGCCCTCCAGCCCCCGGTGACCCCAGACACTTACATGGGTGTGGCCGGAGACCAGGCCTGGCTCTGCAGGGCCATCTTGCCCAGAAGCCCACTTCCCAGTCTCTGAGTTCGAGACCCACTACCCGCTTGCCTGAAGGTGCCCTGGAGGCCGGGACTGGGCTGGTGGGAGGGGGGCTGCAGGGCGGCACCCGGAGAGCTGGTCCAGCTGGTTTGGGCCGAGGCTGGAGGTGCACGGAGGGGGGCTGGGGGCTGGCGGCAGTTCTGGGAGGCACTATCAGCTATCTGGATAAATTATTTACCAGCCGCTGGCCTTCTTGCTGCACCGGGCTGCCTCCGGCAAATGCTCTCACATGTGCGGTCAAGCAGGTGGGCGAGATGGCAGTTGCTGACCTCCACCCTCCAGGGCATTCCCCGTCCTTTGGTCCTCTGTCAGGGCACGTGAATGTCATTCATGGCATGCACACTAAGAAGCCGCCCGACTCCCTTCAAGACCTGGCTCCACCGGGGGGTGGGGGGGTGGGGGGGTGGGGAGGAAGGGACCTCTGCTCCAGCCAGGGAATTCTGGAGGCCAGAGGCTCAGCACCAGGGGACCCAGGAGGCTGGAGCCAGCCTGGGTAACTGTGGACATCTTGCCTCCGGTTTCTAGCCCTCGGTTTACCCATCTGTGATATGGGAGATTCGGTCCAGGTGGCCTCCAGAACCCCAGATACTCCTTAGGTAGAGTTACAGGAGCGAGTGGTGACAAGCAAGGTCTAGAGAACTTCCTACCCAAACCTTGAGGGTCCCCTATTTTATACCATTGCATTCTTAAAGGGCCAGCACCCTCTCTCTCAGCTGACTGCACATTTCGTGTAGCCCTGCTCCTRTGGAAGTAATTTCCAGGATGGGGCAGGGGCCCCTCTGCTCTCCTGCGGCCCTCAGTGCTTCCCCCATCCCAGCCCTGGTCAGACTTGAGGATTCTGACCTTAACCCTGATAAGAAGCTCTTGCCTGATGTGGGCCCCACACATCAGAGGACATTCCACTAGGGACTCGTCCCAGGGAGCAAAGAGCAAAAAAATGTGCTTTCTAAATCTTGATCTTCCTCTCCTGGACCCCACTTAGGGGGCCCAGGGTCAGCTGTGGGCAGAGGGGTGTGGAAGAGCTTGGGCACGAGGTGGTGAAGTGTCCCTAGAGCACGCACCCGGCTCCCTGCTTCTGGAGAGTTGGGAGTGGGAAAGAGGGGGGCTGGTTGAGGGCTGAGGTCTCCTGTGTCCCACATTCTAGTACAAAGCTCTGGAACTCCTGGGCTTAACGTGATTTTCCTGCCTCAGCCTCCCAAGTAGCCAGGACAACAGGCACGTGCCACTCGGTGGGGCTGACTTCATTAATTATTTTTATTTGTTTGTTTGTTGAGACAGGGTCTCCCTGTGTTGCCTTCGCCTGAGTCTCCCAAGTAGCTGAGATTACAGGTTGCTCACCACCCCAAGTGGCTGAATTATTTTTCAGTCATGGTAACTCATACATGACAACACCTAGCATTAGGGGCCTTTAGCACATTCAGGATGGTATGCAACCCTGGCTTCTACCCGATTCCAGAACCTTCTCATCATCCCCAAAGGAAACCTCATCTTCCCTCCCTCCAGCCTTGACAACCACCCATTGTCTTCATCTGTATGGACTGGCCTGTTCGGGACATTTTGTGTGAATGGAGTCCTACACTCTGTGGCCTTTTCTTTGGTGGGGGGGTAACCAGATATCGAACCCAGGGGCACTCGCCCCCTGAGCCACATCCCCAGCCCTATTTTGTATTTTATTTAGAGACAGGGTCTCGCTGAGTTAGCACCTCACTTTTGCTGAGGCTGGCTTCAAACTCGAAATCCTCCTGCCTCAGCCTCCCAAGCGGCTGGGCTGACAGGYGTGCGCCACAGTGCCCGGCTACATACTGATTTTTTTAAACAACTCATGCACCAGACAACATTCCAGGTGTGGAAGAGTTGGGTATGGAGGTGAGTAGAACAAACAGAAAAATTCTGTAATGCTGCTCACTTCCTGGTGTGGGGAGGGAGACAGAAAACTCACAGATACACAAAGAAATAAAGGTGACCGGTGATACCTGCCGTTGAGGGGGAGGAGGAGGTGTTGTTGTCTTGTTTGGTCTTGGTTTTCCTGGTGCTGGGGATGAACTCAAAGGCCTTATGCTGAGTTACAGCCCGGCCTCAAGGGTGGGTTCTTGAGGAAAAATGGGGATGGGGTTAAAGAGGGACTGCTGTTGCAGGTTGGGCAATCAGGGACCCCTTCTCTGAAGAGGTGACACTTGAGCTGCATAACAGGCGTCAGTCATGGGAAAGAATGAGGGAAAGAATGTCCAGACTCTTCGGTGGGAATTCCAATGGAGAGGTTTGAGGGAGGCATGAGGGCTGGGATGACGTCACCCAAGGGACGGCACAAGATGAGATCTGAGAAGAGGGCAGAGCTTGCTGGCCCACCGGAGGGAAATTGGGTTTTTAGTCTGTTTGGTGGGAGCATCGGGAGGGAGAGGTGGCAGCTGGGTCAAGGGTGAGAGAAGTGGATGAATTCAGAATATGACTGGAGGCAGAGCCGCAGGGGTTTGCTGAGATTGGAGGGGGAAAGAGGGAAATCGGGGCTGCCTCCTAGAGTGGGGCATGAACAGGTGCAGTTGTGACTTTTGGTGGGGCGGAGCAGGGTCGGGATCTAGAATTCAGTCTTGGAAGAGTTTGGGGAAATCCATCAGACGGACGCTGTTGGACGTGGGTCCAAAGCCCAGGGGAAACCCAGGGCTGGGGACATAAATTTGGGAGCCACCTGCACAGAGATGGTGCTTAAAGCATGAGACTGGAATTTTTCAGGGTCTGCGTCATAGCAGGAAGAGATCATGCATTCAAAAACAGTAACCGATGAGAACTGAATGAAGCAACCATTTACAAAGGTCACCCCTGGAGGCCCGGTAGATTGTGTACCCTCTTGGCCCCCAAAGAGAGCCATGTGGAGCTGCTACTGGGATGTCCCCAAAGGGGCTTGGAGGGAGAGGACATGGAATTCAAATCCTGGGCTTGCTCTTCTCTCTCCCTTCTGCTGAAGCCAGAGGGAAAGAAACTTGTCGGCACATGTGGATCTGAAGCCTGAGAAGGGTTGCCTGTGAGGCAGGAGGAACCAGGAGAGGCTGGTGTCCCTTAGGATGAAGGACGGCGTGGGACAGAGCCAGCAACCAGGCCTTCAACAGAGGTCATAGAGCTGCAGGCCCAGAGCCAGGTTAGCATGGCCAGAGTTTTAGTTTTAGGTGCACACAATATCTTTATTGGACATGGATGTGGTGCTGAGGATCGAACCCAGTGCCTTGTGCATGCTAGGCCAGTGCTCCACCACTGAGCCACAACCCCAGCCCAGTTTTTTCCTATTTTTAAAATATTTTTTTTAGTTGTCAGTGGAACTTTTTTATTTATTTATATGTAGTGCCAAGGATGGAACCCAGGGCCTCCCACATGCTAGACAAGTGCTCTCTACACTGAGCCACAACCCCAGCCCAGTTTTTTCCTATTTTTAAAATATTTTTTTTAGTTGTCAGTGGAACTTTTTTATTTATTTATATGTAGTGCCAAGGATGGAACCCAGGGCCTCCCACATGCTAGACAAGTGCTCTCTACACTGAGCCACAACCCCAGCCCAGTTTTTTCCTATTT